TCCTCCTCCTCCTCCTCCTCCTCCTCTTCCTCCTCCTCCTCCTTATCCTCCTCCTCCTCCTCCTCATCCTTCTCCTTCTCCTCCTCCTCCTCCTCCTCCTCCTCGTCCTAGCGAACAGGGTTGGCAGCACTGGCCGTAAGGCCTTCGCAATCCTGGAAGGGTCCTGCAATAAGTAGTCCAAGTGGGGTTCCAATAGCGTCTTGGTGATCTCATGGTAGGTACGCTCCCAAAAAATGGGTCCTGGCATTAGCCCCTGCTGGAACTCTGAAACTGTCCTGGTAGGACCTTGGTACGGTCCTGGCGTAACAGGCCCCTGGTAGCACTGCAGAATCCTGGCAAAGTCGTAATCGCGTCCTGGTAGCGTCCCGATGGGATCTCGTCGGGGTCCTGGATGTGAGGGTCATGGCGGGCTCCTGGCAGGAGAGTCAGATGTGCAGAATCTCGGGAAATCAAAAACACTTGTGGGCCTGAGGTGCAACACCACGAAAACGCACATGTGGGTGTCCGAGGGAGGAGGGATGACGAAGAATCATTGAATCGATGAGTTTCTTCAGCAGTATGCAATGGGACAGCGATCAGCATAATTACAGTCAAGGTCGCGTCTAAATCTGCCAAGAGGAGATCTTCCGAGCTGTGGCTCAAGCTCGCGCTGCGCTTCTGCGCAGACGCACACCTTTCGCCTTCTGTCTTTGGAAAGGCCAGGAAGACGTGTGCGAACTGAAGTAACAACGTCTGCAAAGATAGCCGTCGACACAATACAATCATTTTAAGCCGGGCATGTCCTCCTACAGGCAGATTTCAGACAACAAGTAAAAGTAGTCAAACAAACATTAAAAATAGTCAAAGGAGCACGAAAGATCGTCCCCATATTATGTTTCAACTGTTCCTGAATATTCCTCCTGTAGAGGGACGTGCCTGACTTAACAATAACTTTGCTTTTCAAGGAGCGGCCGCGCGCAACTAACATATTCCGTGCACGAATTCGGGCGGGTGGAGGAAGACGGAAAAGCGGCCTGCACCTCGCTTACACTCCGTGCGCACTTGGGCCTGCGTCTAGAACCGGGAGAAGCCTTCTGAATTCCCGGCTGGCGAATGCGAAACTACATCCCGCGCGCTCGTGCCCATCCAGTGGCGAGCCGATGCGATGCCGTTCAACTCTTGATCGCCGCTCAGCATGGCCGCTCCTACTGGCCTGGGCTTGGTGAGGCGCTGGAGAAGAACGTAGGCACCCAGGATGAAGCCTGCCAAGACGGCCAGGGCTACCACTCTGGCGTCGACCATGCTCTCTCCACCGTCGGCGCCCGCTCCGTCATGCTGGTCTTTAGCTCCGTCCGCGGGGCCGAGGAACTTCATGTTGCCAATGTTCTGGACGGCTCGCGCGGGATTCGCAATGGCGCTTCTGACCTCGTCTGTCCTGACGGCGTCGTGCAGGTCTTGCAGAGTGGCTCCCTTGACAATCGCAGCGCCCTTCTTGGCATCGTCGGTGTCGGCCAGACCCATCATGTCCTGCACGGAGGCGGTCTTTGCCTTCTCTGCCAGGCTGCCCACTTCTGCCCTCTTGCTGTCCAAAACCTGCTTCGCCTGGCTCATGGCCTGGCCCACTGCCGAGCCCGGTGCGGCCGGACCGCTCGCCGCCTTCACGATGTCCCTCACGCTGGCGTCCTGCACGGCGCCGGCGATCTCCTGCCCGCGCTTGGAGACCTGGGAGGCGGCATCCTCGATCCTGCCCCCCTTCAGGCTCGCGATCGCCCCCGCCACGCCCCCGGGGGTGGCCTTGCCCACTTCCCCGAAGATGCCGCTGAAGGCCTCCTGCACGGCATGGCTGCCGCCGGTGGCGGGCTCCTCGGGCAGCTCCGCGGGCAGCGACGTGGTCGACGGCGCCTGCGCGGCCCCTGCGGGGCTGCCGCCCACAGCCACGGAGACCGCTGGCAGGGCCACCGAGGCGCTCTGCGCCGCGCCCCTGGCGGTGTCCACGGCCCGGGAGGCGTCCGCGCCCGCGAGCGCCTGGCCGGCGTCCCCCACCAGCCTCTGGGGGTTCTCCGCCGCCTGCTGAATGCTCTGCTGAACGGCGTCGGGCATCTTGGGGGGGTCCTGGCTGACGGCTTTGATCGCCTTCCCGAGGTCCCCGATGCCGAAGCCCTTTCCGAGGGCTCCCCTGACGGTGAGCACGCAGACGAGGCAGCGAGCGAACACTTTCAGACTGCACGGTGCTGCCATGTGGCAGAAGTTCACAACTTTGAAAGTGCGAAGCGGAAATCAGCCTGACTGTGATTCAGCCCAAGATTGAGCTTGGGCCAGAACGGTCTCTTGACCAAAACGGTACTGTTTGACACTGGGCATGCAGAATCGCCGAAGGGCAACGAAATCCAACGACCCATGGTTAACCGGATGGCTGGATGTGTTGGGATCTCCCGCGCGAAAGACGTCCCCAGCAGCCCCACGGCAGCCGCATGGCGAACAAGACAAAACCAGAACGCAAACAAAGGACCTCCAGTCGCCCCGAGGCCGCCAAGAGGCCCCAAGAGGCCCTCAGGATGCCACAAGATGCCCTAAGAGGCTCCCAAGAGGCCCCCAAGAAACCCTCAAGAGCCCTCCAAGAGGCGAGACCCTTATACGAATTTAAAAAGCTTCTGGTCCACCACCAGGGCACGGTGGCGGGATGGGGCAAAGGCCACCAGACAGGGTTGGCACGGTGTCCTGTCCCAGCTCCAATCTCGAGGTTCTCTTCACGCCGTTCTGGGATGATTGCCGGCCTGCCTTCGTGCGCTCCTCGGCTCCCTCGCGGCATTCCCCGGACCTCCTGATCTCCCTCTAGGGTCGGCAGGACCGACCGTCAGGCCTCTCCGATATCAGAGGATCGGACGGCAGCATGTCGGAGGCCGACGTGTAGGAGGACAGCAGACAGGAGGATGGGGAGCAGGACGCAGGACATGGGGAGTCGGAGGACACCAGATGGTAGGATGGACAAGGCAAGAGGTCAGAGGAACAGGTGCAGCAGGCAGGAGGCAGGGCTCGAACTAAACAGTGTTTCCATGTTTGTTTTGCTGTCGTTTCCCCTCGTTTTGTCTTCGTTCCGCGTTTGCTGCAAAACGAGATCTAAACGAAAACGGCCCACGAAATCGCAAAAAAAAAAACGCTTAGCTCGAGCCCTGATAGGAGGTACGCGGAAGGTGGCGGGAGGGATAAGGGAGGGAGGGCGCCACCGTGAACTCTCAAAAGCCTGCGGGGCTGGAAACGAATGCCTGGGAGCCGACAGTCCCGCCCGACAACAACACGGCGAATGCGAAGGTTTCCACAATCAGCGTGACCGCTGTGGAAACGACAGTGCCTGCGGGCACCCATGTGACCGTTTTGTTTCTTTCCCGGGTAGAGGTCGCTACCCAAGGGGTGGCCAGGCGGGAGGTGACGGTAATGGCGGTCGCGGCGTGCACCCGCCAGGGTGCGTCCGCGCCACCAGCGCATCAATCGCCAGTGTGCACCACAGCATGTAAGAAAGGCCAAGCCCCCCCCTGAAATTACGATCGGTAGCGCTACCCAAAGGGGAGTCTTGGCCCGGGTAGCAAGCATTACCCTGAGGGAATATAGAATGTCACTTATGGGCCACTATGCACCGCGCGGTAAGTTCCTGTCCAGGGCGGGTAACTTCCAGTGTGCCTGGCGAAATCGTCCCGGAAAACGCACGTCCAACAACACGAAGGCCCATCCAGGAGACCCCTGTCCAAAGCCTCGTTGCACCAGTTCCGCTGCCAAGGTTCCCAACGTCATCACTAATGTTGCGAACATGACCCCAGCCCGAAAAGCGCCCGAATACCACGTCGGAGTCGCGCCCTTCGAAGTGATGGGGTCCTGGAACACGTAAAAAAACACTTCGCGCCCCTCCAAGCCAAAACCCCCCGAACATTGCAACCGCTTCGCACTCCTGAGGCCACAATCACTACGGCAAGCTGCGCTTCCGAAGCCAAGCTACGATTTTGCGCCCCCGAGTCTACATGAAGCCCGTTTTGAGGATTATTGCACGCTCGCGTTCCCGAGGCGAGGCTCTTCTGACAAAATACATCACACGCGCGTTCTCGAGTCCACTATATGTTGTAAACTACAGCGCGGTCGCGCCCCCGAGGCCACAACCCCTTTTGCGAAGCCATAACAGACAGAGAATCACAGCGCCTTCGCGTTCCCAAAACCCAGATCCATTGAAAATGTATCACGCTCGCACTACCGAGGCAACAATCTCTGTTACATTACTGCGCACCCGCGCTCCCGAAGCCAGCGTTCTTAACAATTGCGATGCGCTCGCGCTCCCGATGCAACACACCATGATAATGTACGACATGTCCGCGTCCCGAAGCAACACAACCTTGCAGTTAAAAATGTCGCGCTCCCGAGGCTACACCACCTAGGGAAAGACATAATTTCCGCATTCCCGAGGCCACAACCCGTTTTGAGCAAATTAGAATGAGCCCGCGCTCCCGGAGCCAAAATACCTTGCAACGTGCGACGCGGTCGCGCGCCTAAGACAACAATCCCTTGTAAACTACACGCTCGCGCTATGGAGGCTACTACCCTGGTGCACGGCAACCGGTTCGAGCCCACGAGGCAAGGGCCCTTTTCATGAGTAGTTACAACTTCGCACAACCGAAACCACAAACCAGCACCGTGGAGACTGCCCCAAAGCGCTGCCTCCTATTTCCAGAGCATAACAACTGCAACTCTCTGGTTTGTCATATGTTTTTTGGGGGGGGCGCTTTTCGGGTCCTCGGCCGCTTCCTGAAAAATCGCCGCCGGACCCGACGCCACGAATCCTCTGAAAAATAACCGGGCAAAAGACCCAACCATATGCAATTGCGAGCAACGCACTTGTCAGCAGCGTCTTCGGTGGAGCTCCCTCTGGGTCCACGCAACGTGTGAAGGAGGCACCGAAACGGGCGCGGCGGGCGCATGCGAACGCGTGTAAGGGGCACGCCGGAGTGGGCGCGGTAGCGCCATGCGAGCGCAGCCTCCGGGGCTCTCGGCGCAGCTTCCTCTGGGGCCACGAAACGTGTGAGGGGTGTGCCGAAGGGGCGCGGAGGTGCCATGCGAGCGCAGCTGGGGCCCTTCTTTGGCTGCGCTCCAGGCTCGCGCGGCGCGAGCTCGGTCCCGGGGTGCGCCGTCACCAGGGGCGCCCGCGCGGGGCGCCCACCTGGCCGTGCCAGCCCCAAACGGGGCCAGACCACCGAAGGCACTCCCCTTGACCCCGCCGCTACCGCAGAGGCCGAGGCTGACGAATGCTCGGCTTGCTCTACTGAAGTCTGCGGCATCGCCTGGGGCACCCCCGCGAAGCACCCTCCAGGCTGCGCCACCCTCAAAAGAGAGCAGTGCACCGAAGTCCCTGCTTCAGGAGACAAAGGCGGAAGGAGCCACCAGGCGCTAGGCGCGCCACCCGCGAACGCGGGCTAAAAGGCGCCGACAGGCCTCCAGCTCACGGACTCCAGCAACTGCCGAAACTGCTCGCTGAGCCGAGGCTCGTAGTCAGCCGCCTGGCGGAGGAGGCCGTCGGCCACCGCAAAACCCCCCTCCGGGCCGACCTCCGAAGCCGCAGCTCCGCCAGCAGCAGGCGCCGCCACCGCGAGCGCCGCGCCCAGCTCCGCCGCCGCCTTCGCCCGAGGACGCCTGGGCCCGCGCCGCCACCGCGCGGCTCCGTCGGTCTGGCCGTCGCTCCCGAGGCCGCACCCCGCAACACCAACAGCTCCTGCAGCTCCGCGAGCTGGATCCGCCGCTTCCGCCGCCGCCGCCCCGCCAGGGGTGCCCACGAGGGCCAGCACCGCGTCTGCAAGCGCGGCCGTCGCAGCGGCCGAGCCAGAGCCCGAACCGCCCGCGCCAGCAGCAGCCACCCCCGCGACGCTCATGCCCTCGCATCTCCTCCTAGGTCGACGCGGTCCGCGGACGGGCAGGCTTTCGGCCCAGGAATCGTCGATGATCCCGTCGCTATCGCCGAAGCCGTTGACCATGGGAGCGTCGCCGCCAGAGCCGCCCTCAGGAGGGGCAGGCATGCCGGCGCGCCCGGCTCCAGGAACAGCATCACGATCGGCACGGCGCCCTTCACCGAGACGAGCGCGGCGCCGCCGCCGCCGCTCCCGCTTCACATCCGATGCGCCATCTTTACGGCCAGCCGCCCCAGCGCTGGCGGCCGCAAGCGGCTGCGGGGGTGCCGCGGCCCGAAGGGCCACCGCAAGCGCCACCGCAGCCACCGTTCGCCGTGGCGCCTTGGCCTCGACGGCCACGCGGACCGCGGCAGCCACCAGGGCCGCCCCGTCCACCCCAGCTGTCGCCCCTCTAGCCGCGCGCAGGCCAGCCATCCCGCGAAGGACAACCGAGGCGGAGGCGCGGCGTGCGGTCGTTTGAGCCAAAATGAGCCTCTGACTGAGGCCCTCGGTGCAGCTCCCCGTGAGGCCACGAAACGTGGGGGGTGCCGAAATGGGCGCGGCGCTGCCATGCGAGCGCAGCCACTGGGGTGGTCGGTGGAGCTCCCCATGGGGCGACGGTGCCATGCGAGCGCAGCCACTGGGGTCTCGGTGGAGCTCTTTATGTTTTATGGGGCCACGAAACGTGTGAGCTGTGTGCCGAAGTGGGCGCGGCGGTGCTATGCGAGCGCAGCCACTGGGGCCATCGGTGGAGCTCCGTATGGGGCCACGAAACGTGTGAGGGGTGTGCCGAGATGGGCGCGGCGCTACCGTGCGAGCGCAGCCTCTGGGGCCCTCGGTGGAGCTTCCTATAGGACCACGAAACGTATGAGGGGCGTGCCGACATGGGCGCGGCGCTGCCATGCGAGCGCAGCAACTTGGGTTCTCGGTGGAGCTCCTTATGAGGCCACGAAGCGTGTAAGGAGTGTGCCGAAATTGTTGACTGGCGTGGAGGAAAAAGGCAGAGACGGGAGGACGGGGAGGGAGGGGGCAGCGGGAGGAAGAAGTGAGACGGGGGGCGCCGTCTCTTCAAAATGAGGACCCAACACCACAGGATGGTTGGGAACAAAGGTATAAGGAAGCCAATGACAAACCCAACCTCGCGATTATGCCAAAGATGGCCTCCTCCAATACGCACCATGAAGGAAACGCCCTAAGGAGGGCAGACAACCTTCAATGAGAACCTCCAAAACTCCAAAATGTCAGCAGGCGTTGCTGCTTCCCTGCTGCTTCAAGACGGCGGCGGCCAGGCATCCCCATACAGCTCCGAAATATCAAACTCTGACAGAGGCGGCCGGCGGCAGAGGCGAAGCCCTTACGGATCACTAGGAGGGCCAGGAAAAATATGAATGATGCGCAGCAAAAACAGAGCACTAAATCCGTGATACATGTTTCAAGTGTTGTTCTTCGACATGTGCGATGCCGGCCTGGTGGGTGACTGGACGGCACGCGCCAGAATGGACGAAAGACGCTAGTCCGAATCCGCGCCTGTGCGTTGTCCCTGCGCAGCTGAAGCCTGCACGGATCAAAAGGCGTCCGTCCCCTCTGGCCTTCTCCACTTCTGCTACTCGTTCTCACATCTGGGCGTACTCTAATGCTGCTCAGGCTTCACCAGAAATCATCCGTACAGTGTATCAGAGGACCCCATCCTCGAGCAGAGGCAGCGTAGCCGTCATTTCAAAGAGTGCCCGATGCCCCCCTGGTGGCCCGACGAGACCGTGCGCTGTCAACTGCACATGCAAGCGTTCCTTTTTTTGTTCGTCGACGGCCTACGCACAAAGCTGTGTAGGCTACCGGTCAATCTTCAGATGCTGCAGGCCGGCTGGTCTCAGCTCATTCCTCGGCGTCATCACTGCACACTTCTGCGGAATGTTATTATCGTAGAGCGTTGTCAGCAAAGGGTCCATGAACATGCGGCCGTCACTGCCATGTTCGCGCATGCACCAGTGAAAGGGCACGTGCTCACAGTCATACACGCTTGCATCGTAGTTACACCTCATGAAGGGCTCCGCTTTGTAAAGTGCGAGTCCTCCAAAGCACGAGTGCACTGGCTGGGGATGGAATCCATCAAACATGGTTGCCGCGAGTGTGGCTCCGCAACCATATCCGTTGAACTCCTCGTGGCTTTTAGTTCTGTAAGCGAAGCAATCGTGGTAACCGATCCTCTCTGCCGGATTGTTGTTGAGGTGACGGAGGCTGTTGGCACAGATCATGTCCCACTTGTCCTATGCAGTGAGAGGGCGCCCCAACGTGTTGAAGAAGCTGTGAGGCAAAATGGCATGATCCCCGAACAGGTTCAGGTCGAAATCGTACAATACCACCAAATCCCAGCCAGGGTTATTGATGACATAAGAGCTGACGAAAGACTTCAGCCTGTTCCGGAGAGTCGCCATGCGTATCATGCGGGACTGTTCCAGCCCCCGCGAATCGCCCAACCGCAAGGTAAGAGATTGGAACTCGAACTTGATATCTCGATGAGCGATTTTCTCTAACTGCATGGCAGTGCCATCAGAGGAATCGCTCTCCAAGACAACGAGATGGTAATCCTTGAACCATCGTCCGATATTCCTCAACACTTGTAGCTGCTGTCGACGGCTTTTTCAGCATCGCGGATGAGGCCAGCAAAAATGACCGACATGTTGCTTGCAAACTTATGCCCTCGCTCGAGGTTCGCCTCCACCTTGTACCAATTCTGCACGACCGTTTTCTCCAGGGGGGCGGCATAGCACAACCCAGGTTGGGCCATCGACGAGGAGCGCCTCCTTCCCGGGCTGACTGGCCGCGGCAAGCTCCCAGGTCTCCAACGTCTGCGGGGGCACGCGCCCAAGCAACCCGAGGCCCCGCGCGGGCACGACCAGCGCAGCGAGCAGGCGGGCGGTCCGACGAGGCGCCATTGCGGCCGGCCGAGCGCAGCGCGGCCAGAGGCCAGGGCGGCAGGTGCGTCGTAGTCGTGCAGGAGGCATACGAGGCCATACCAAAGAGCGCAGCGCGTTTGAGCCAAAATGGCTACGGAACTACGGAACTGCACATGCAGGCGCTCCTGCGAGCCCTGTGCTCGCGGAATGACGTGCAACACTGCTGGAAAGCACCAGGACGCGATGGCGCGGCAGAGCCAGAGCCAGCGGGGGGACACGCGCGGACGTTGCCCGACGGAGGTGCGCGCGCGCTTTGTGTCTCTCCACGGCGGGTTGTGTCGTGCTGACTCTTGCGCTGGTTCTTGACACTGCGCGGATCGTGCAACCTTGAACTATCGCGGCTTCCCGATGGCGCAATGATTAGCAATGAAAAACCCTAACCCTCTGGGAGAGGACCTGAGCTAGGAGGGCGAGAAACATTAGGGATAGGGGGTCTTTTCTGCAGATGTGTCAAACCTGACCGCCTAGACCTGTTGTCCCTCATGCGAAGACGGGGACCTAAGTTGGGCCACGTCTTCATCATGTCATTTGAATTGCGGGTTCTCTTGCTCTCGACGAGGAAAGACCTGTCGATGCTGGCCGGTTCTGGGCCACTGGCGGCGTTGGTGCCGTGACGGCGTCGGCCCCGGTTTTTCTGACGGCGCGTGGATCCTCGAAAGCATGGCGCGGCCGCGGCCTGCCGAGAAAGGCTCAGACCCCACGACGCGGTGGACTCCAGGACCCCTCGGCGGCGTTCAGCCCTGAGCGCCCGCGCCGTCGGACCACCGCCGCGTCGGCTCGGCACGAGTCGCCGACTCCTCCGAAGGGTTCGGCTTGCAGAGGGCGCGGCTTGCAGCCCACAGCCGCGGGGGAGGGCCGAGGCCCTCGGCAGAGCTCTCCGCCGCGCCCCGATGAGGGACCATCAGGCCTTGAGCTCCAAATTGGTGCCCCCCGAACCCTACCTTGGCCCACCCGGCATTGAATAAGCGACAGAAACCAATTGGTCTTTCGCGAAGAGACATAGCGACCTTACGCCGCGGTTTATGCGGGCCGCGAGCGCGGCACACCGCGTGGAGAAGAGAGCGCTACCGCGTGGCCTTACGCGAGAAGCTTACGCGCGAATGTCGGCGCAGCCGAACCGTTCTTTTAACGTCGCTCAAGTGCTGCCCACAACCGACAGCGGCCGCTGTTAGGAAGGCGGCCTTCTGCCTCAAATGGACAACGCCCGCCCGCGGCGGCACCGGCAGCGACCCCTGCTCAGAATGGGCAGGAACTGCCGCCCGTCTTTGCCGCCATCCTTTTCGCACCCACCTCCATGACCCTCAGAACGTGTGTTGGCGCCAGCGTGTGCTGGTCCACCGAAGCCTGTCAATACGACGCAGACGGTGTACTGAGGGCCGACACCAGCTGTGTACTGTCGGTGGGGCTGACTGGGATCACACACCCATTGGGCAAGCACGCGTCCCAAGGATCCTCGACCATGTTTGTGTTAGCCTTCATGGGAGCCTCTGTGGACGTCCACGGCCCTGTCATAAACAACTTTCGACAGACTCTCGTCCACATTTCGACCACCCCTCTTCACCCCGTTCGTCCAGATTTCGGAAAGATTTCGTCCAGTGTCGACCAGATCCGACGAAATCTGGACCGAATACCCCAAACCGCAGGGAATTTGGGAACCATCTGAGGCTCCCAAGAGGGACCACACAAATATTTCTTAAGAGGCAACTCCTGGGAGGTCTTTGTTGGAACGAGTACGGGCGGTTAGGCCCGATTAGAGTGCCACTGCGCTGGACTAGGCCAGAATAAGCCCAAGATTAAGCCAGATTAGGCGGATTGAGAGGGATTCAGCCGGATAACATCGGATAAACCCAGATTGAGCCGGTCATCGACCGCGAGAATGCCAGCGCCGAGACAGAATTTGACCTCCCAGGAGTGGCATCCCAGCGTTTCGATCCTCCAGACCAGCGGCGCCGATCGCAAGCCACACCCCAGAGCAGCCACGCCCACTGCGGCAGCCGGCCCGTGATCACTCGGGCCGCCGCCGCGCCGGCCCGGCACGGGCCCGCCGTGCCCGGTCCCGATCCGCCGCAGGCCTCCGCGAGGAGGCAGCCGACCGACCAGAGGTCC